TTTGTGTACTGTACCAATCATAAGTAACGTCTTGGTGGTTTGTGTACAGTACCAATCATAAGAAACGTCTTGTGGTTTGTGTACAGTACCAATCATAAGTAACGTCTTGGTGTTTTGTGTACAGTACCAATCATAAAAAACGTCTTAGTGTTTTGTGTAATAAGGAACGTCTTGGTGGTTTGTGAACAGTACCTGTACAGTACCAATCATAAGAAACGTCTTGTGGTTTGTGTACAGTACCAATCATAAGTAACGTCTTAGTGTTTTGTGTACAGTACCAATCATAAGTAACGTTTTGGTTTTTTGTGTACAGTACCAATCATAAGTAACGTCTTGGTGTTTTGTGAACAGTACCAATCATGAGCGAAATCATATAACAATATCAGCCGTTAACGGAAAGCTCAACCACAATCAAGTGATCGTATGATAAAGGGCTCAGTATTATATACATGTATATATTAGTTCCGTTACCTAGGAAAGACTTGAGTCTGATGTTGTCCGTGTCCGTCCTGTTGTCGTAGTAATATGGTTGCTGGAGCTCACCTAGATCAACCGACAACAAGACAAGTAAAGTTACATATATGTATAAAGTTTGAAGTAACATATACAGGGTAAACGGAAAAAATATAAAACTACATATTTTTAACAGATTTCTCTTGAAACCAATGTGTTTTTTAGATATTACTTCCTTTCCATGTAATGACAGGGGGATATGCAGTAACATTTCAATTTTATGATGCAGACATAAACATGTCACGAACATGTTGTAAGATCATAATAAATACAAAAAAATGTATGCTCTACGCCTTTCCTGGTTAACATTTCTCACAAGTTTCAACGAAACAATCACATGAAATACGACAAATAATATTTGCCCAACCAGCATAACAGTAATTTGACCTTTGCTGCTATTTTGCGCTTAGAGTATCGATGAAAGCGTTTATTCATAGCACTCCCGTCTACAGGAATGAAATTCCACCAAACATTACGATGATTTAACCTTGAACTTGTTTTGTCTTTAATCTCGATGTAATGAACGTCATTGTATGAAATATTTTCTGCTCCTGCCTGTATATCTTGATCGCTGTGCGGATTTTCCTTCAGACGTTGGATGACTGAGGGAAAAAGACCTTCATATTTCTTTATAAAAGGGCAGTTTAGTGTTAATTATACCAAAAAGAGGCATTTTACACAGACAAAATATATCATTTATCAGGTTATTTATAATTCTGTCAAAAGTAACACGAGACAAACATGTTTCTGTCTAAACGACACTAATTCTGCTCACATCGAAAGTGAGGCTCCAAACTGGGGCATGTGCTGCGCAGAGGAACTGATGTTTTGTCTTCTGGTCTTGAAGAGTGTCTCAACCAATCATACACACTGTTATCATAGATCGGTTTAGTGATACCCTCGATCCATTATCTACTGTATCATATAGTCCAAATACGCGCACTCCCCAAAAAAAATCAAAAGTTATTAAGAAGTAACTGGATTAAGTCCTTAATATTTCACAGCTAGGAGACTTCATGTATTTACCTGTTGTTGGTTGTGAGCCTGAACGTGCGGGAGCGTTAATGGCCCGAGCTCCGATCCCTCCATCTGCTGGTGATTTGACTGGGACAGGAGTGTCCGGATTCTGAATCTTTTTCAGTCGTCCAACAAGGTCTGAAACCAGATATCATTTCATTTTGTTCTTTCTTTGATATTTGAGTGCAGATAGAGTGCAGTACTTTTGTTTTGTAGGTTGTGAGGAGTGAATGTATAGGCTGAACAAAGGTGTCAGTAGTTATACAAATTGTTATCCTGTACATGAAAGCATGGAACCGCCTTCACCATTTCATGGTGAGCATGTATAGGTCAAGGCAATGTGGTTGAGAAAACAACCAGGATTTCCATCGAGTAAGGTATTTATAGTCCAGTGGTGATAGAATGATACCGGATGAAACAAGTGCACAGATATTGAAGTGATGATCAGTGAATAATGATACCTGTTACACTAAGTACAAAATGAGATATAAATCGTATTCGAGTTCAATGAAACAGTAAAATAGTCACTGAGATCTAGTTGTGGTGCTTGACACACCTTAACTCCTAGTTGTGGTGCTTGACACACCTTAACTCTTAGTTGTGGTGCTTGACACACCTTAACTCCTAGTTATGGTGCTTGACACACCTTAACTCCTAGTTGTGGTGCTTGACACACCATAACTCCTAGTTGTAACAGAATATGACGTATGTTGAACCACCATGTAAATGGAAGGAAATCATAGCTCAGAAACTTACGTAATTTTCTGTACAATGGAACGGAAATACATCCATAGATATAACACCTCATGAAATATGATAAACCTGATTAAAAAATGGAAACTATTGGCAACTTTGACCTAGATATTGCGACAATCTTGCACCACTAACACTATGACCAAGACACCATTTATATTGATACAAGTGACTGGAAATACGAATATATTTCAATAATTATTCCTCGGAGTGGAAAACATGTTCACTTCGACCTAGATTTCGAGAGTGACATGCGTAGCTATAGCCCCGAAACAAATACCACGGAGAAATGGACGGACGGACAGGATCAACATTTTATATATAAAGTTGTTAATAGAGAAATTTCAATCGATGACTGGAGTAAGAGAGGTTGAAGGGATATATTAACTAGTAAGCCTGCACTCCCATCCTTTTGGCTGGGACCTAATGCTTCTGTATTCTGATGTTTACTTCAATATCGAAGTGCAGTTTGTATCTATTTATACGTGTTAACCTAATGATAAAGTATAATTACCTGTAAAACTTCCCTGGGGCACAGGTTTTAGTCCGCGAATACACTCGAAAAAACTTTTTGCTGGATCTTCCTGTTATGACCACAAGGTTGACAGTTTATCATTAATCCTTCGATTTTGCCAATTGATTTGTAGAGCCCCACACATTTATACAATTCAAAGTAGCCAGAAGGTATTGGTTCCAGATTATTTTAATATATAAATATAAAATGTTCAATATTTATTTGGCAATCTGTACAAAATCAACCACCGCATTTTCATTTTCAAGTTCTGCTAATGAAGTCAGACATAAGGTTTTTGTGACAAAATACATGTAACAAAACCCTTTTAACCAATTCTTAGTGTACCTGTTCTAAGGATACCTCACGTCAATGTATCTGCTGACAATTATAAACGTATGTACATGTATAAACAAAACCTTTTGAATGTTTCAAATTTAAATATATATCATTTATCCTAATCTTTTACCTTTTTTAAGTAGTCTTCCATGTTTGTTATTAAAGTTAATCCTTTAAAGGGAAATATTAGCATTCTGATGACTCATACTAAACTCAAGCAGTTTAAAATCCTCCAGACACAGTAAGGTTAAAAACTAATAAAGGGTTTGATAGCGACACAATAAAATCCTCCCATCAAATTCTCGACTTTATTTTGAGCATCTATTTTTAGTGACTTATTTTTAAATTTGATGTTTTGACTTATTTTTCAACATTTAATATTTGTGACTTTTTTTTCAACATTTAATGTTTGTGACTTATTTTTCATCATTTAATGTTTGTGACTTATTTTTCATCATTTAAGGTATGTGACTCATTCTTCCGCATTTAATGTTTTTGACTAATTTTTTAACATTTAATGTGTTTTTCTTATTTTTCAAAATTTATTGTGATTTTTATTTTTCAAAATTTACAGGTTCTTATTTTTCAACATTTAATGTTTGTTACTAATTTTTCATTATCTGATGTAAGAAACACGAAATACACTTCATTTACAATATTTTAAAACATTCAATACATACATTGTACTGTGGTATTTCCAGTCTGAATTTCTGTGTTTCTACGTGCAGGGTCCCTTTCTCGTGTAGTACCATTATTCTGTCTACACTACCTGTAACGGCTTCCTTCCAGAAGTACATCTGGTACGGGGAGTCTTCCCAGAACTGGGATGGTAGGATCATCAGACATGCAGTGTCCAGATAAACGTACATGCAATCATTTTGCGATTCGTATGTTTTTGTTTCCAAATTGTAAATAGATACATTCTTGAGAGATCCTGTAAAAATTGGCGAAGATTGCCGAAGAGCTTTCCCAAACTCGTCCGCGGTTGCCAAAATGTCCTTACAAAGCGTATATGTCAACCGTCGGAAGCTGTTCAGGGAAGCAACCAAACTCATGGCGTTGTCAGGATTCAGGAAGTGTAAAACCCTGATTTTCTTTTCTTTTGTAAGGAACGATAACACAACCTCATAACCAAATGTAGTGTTTTCAATCCTGTTGAGACAAGCGAACCTGATCCGCCGGCTTTTGATAGTCCTGTCACCAATTTTCACTAATTCTTTCTGATGATCAAACACCAGTGTTACTTCTTTCGGACGGAAGTTTTCCATGACAGCCACTTTGTGCATTTCCATGCTAGGAAACTTCGCCTCGTGCATGAGAGATACTGCTGCATCCTTCATCTGAAAAATGAAACCAGCGGTTTCAATCCCCGAAATTCAACAGCGAGGACTTATAGATTTATTTAGATAAAACTGTTTTTTTTTGTAATGGAAACATACATGAATATTGGCTGGTAGAATGATCAAACTTTACCTGTAGGTAGTAGTACTATAATGTACTTTTAGTAGGGTACAATTGGATTTTTCCTGACCCTAAAGTAAAGTCAAAGAATCAATACTTTTAGGCTTTTATTTATTTTTCTAAGTATTCTGTTGTGCACTTCATTGGTGCGCATACTTATGTACATTATATCTGCACCATGGCATAGCGCTGTCACCATGGCATAGCGCTGTCACCATGGCATAGTGTTGTCACCATGGCATAGTGCTGTCATCATGGTATAATGCTGTCACCATGGCATAGTGTTGTCCCCATGGCATAGTACTGTCACCATGGCATAGCGCTGTCAACGAGGCATAGCGATGTCACCAAGACATAGCATTGTCACCATGACATAGTGATGTCATCATGGCATAGTGCTGTCACCGACGCATAGTGTTGTCACCATGGCATAGTACTGTCAGCATGGCATAGTGCTGTCACCATGTCATAGCGCTGTCACCATGGCATAGCGCCGTCGCCATGGCATAGCGCTGTCACCATTGCATAGTGCTGTCACCATGGCATGGTGCTGTCACCATGGCATAGTGCTTTCACCATGGCATAGCGCTGTCACTATGGCATAACGCTGTCACCATGGCATAGTACTGTCAGCATGGCATAGTGCTGTCACCATGCCATAGTGCTGTCACCATGGCATAATGCTGTCACCATAGCGTAGTGCTGTCACCATGGCATAGGGCTGTCACCATGGCGTAGTGCTGTCACCGAGGCATAGCGCTGTCACCGAGGCAAAGCGCTGTCACCATGGCATAGTGATGTCACCGAGGCATAGTGCTGTCGCCATGGCATAGTGCAGTATAGTGATGTCACCGAGGCATAGTGCTGTCACTATGGAATAGTGATGTTACCATGGCATAGTGCTGTCACCACGGCATAATGCTGTCACCATGGCGTAGTGCTGTCACCATGCCATAGTGCTGTCACCATGGCATAGTACTGTCCCATGGCATAGTGCTGTCACCTTGGCATAGTGATGTCACATAGTGTTGTCACCATGGCATAGTACTGTCACCATGGCATAGTGCGGTCACCATGGCATAGCGCTGTCAACGAGGCATAGCGATGTCACCAAGACATAGCATTGTCACCATGACATAGTGATGTCATCATGGCATAGTGCTGTCACCGAAGCATAGTGTTGTCACCATGGCATAGTGATGTCACCATGGCATAGTGCTGTCCCATGGCATAGTGCTGTCACCTTGGCATAGCGCTGTCACTATGGCATAGCGCTGTCACCATATCAATACTTTTAGGCTTTTATTTATTTTTCTAAGTATTCTGTTGTGAACTTCATTGGTGCGCATACTTATGTACATTATATCTGCACCATGGGATAGCGCTGTCACCATGGCATAGGGCTGTCACCATGGCATAGTGTTGTCCCCATGGCATAGTACTGTCACCATGGCATAGTGCGGTCACCATGGCATAGCGCTGTCACCATTGCATAGTGCTGTCACCATGGCATGGTGCTGTCACCATGGCATAGTGCAGTATAGTGATGTCACCGAGGCATAGTGCTGTCACTATGGCATAGTTATGTCACCATGTCATAGTGCTGTCACCGAGGCATAGCGCTGCCACCATTTTATCACCATGGCATAACGCTTTCACCATGGCATAGTGCTGTCCCATGGCATAGTGCTGTCACCTTGGCATAGTGATGTCACATAGTGTTGTCACCATGGCATAGTGCTGTGACCATGGCATAGTGCTGTCACCGAGGCATAGTGCTGTCACCGAGGCATAGTGCTGTCACCATGGAATAGTGATGTCACCGAGAAATAGTGCTATCGCCATGGCATAGTGCTGTTCCCGAGGCATATTGATGTCACCATGGCATAACGCTGTCACCATGGCATAGTGCTGTCCCATGGCATAGTGCTGTCACCTTGGCATAGTGATGTCACCGAGAAATAGTGCTGTCGCCGTGGCATAGTGCTGTTCACGAGGCATATTGATGTAACCATGGCATAGTGCGGTCACCATGGCATAGTAATGTCACCATGACATAGGCCTGTCACTGAGGCATAGTGCTGTCGCCGTGGCATAGTGCTGTCGCCGTGGCATAGTGCTGTCATCGAGGCATAGTGCTGTCACCCAGGCATAGTGCTGTCATCGAGGTAGGCGCTTGCGCTGTCACCATGGAATAGTGATGTCACCTAGGCATAGTGCTGTCCCCATGGTATAGCGCTGTCACCATGGAATAGTGATGTCACCTAGGCATAGTGCTGTCCCCATGGAATAGTGATGTCCCCGAGAAATAGTGCTATGGCCATGGCATGGTGCTGTCACTATGGCATAGTGCTGTCATCGAGTAAGGCGCTGGCGCTGTCTCCATGGCATAGTGCTATCCCATGGCATAGTGCTTTCACTATGGCATAGCGCTCTCACCCTGGCATAGCGCTGTCAACGAGGCATAGCGATGTCACCAAGACATAGCAATGTCACCATGACATAGGCCTGTCACTGAGGCATAGTGCTGTTCACGAGGCATATTGATGTAACCATGGCATAGTGCCGTCCCCATGGCATAGTGTTGTCTCCATGGCATAGTGCTTTCACCATGGAATATTGATGTCACTATGGCATAGTGCTGTCCCTATGGTATAGTGATGTCACCATGGTATAGCGCTGTCACTATGGCATAGTGCTGTTACCGAGGCATATTGATGTAACCATGGCATAGTGCGGTCACCATGCCATAGGGCTGTCACCAGGGCATATTGCTGTCACCATGGTATCGTGCTGTCTCCGAGGCATAGCGCTGTCAACGAGGCATAGCGATGTCACCAAGACATAGTGCTGTCACCCAGGCATAGTGCTGTCATCGAGTAAGGCGCTGGCGCTGTCTCCATGGCATAACGCTTTCACCATGGTATAGTGCTGTCACCATGTAATAGTGATGTCACCGAGGAATAGGTCTGTCGCCATGGCATAGTGCAGTATAGTGATGTCTCCGAGGCATAGCGCTGGCGCTATGGTATAGCGATGTCACCAAGACATAGTGCTGTCACCATAGCATAGTGCTGTCACGATGGCATAGTGATGTAACCAAGGCATAGTGCTGTCATCGAGGGAGGCGCTGGCGCTGTCACCATGGAAGAGCGCTGTCCCCATGGCGTAGTGCTGTCACCATAGCATAGTGCTGTCACAATGGCATATTTCTGTCACCATGGCATATCGCCGTCACAAACACAGCGATGTCACCATGACATAGTGATGTCAACATGGCATAGTGCTGCCACCATGGCATAGTGCTTTCACTATGGCATAGCGCTCTCACCCTGGCATAGCGCTGTCCCAATGGCATAGTGCTGTCACCGAGGCATAGTGTTGTCACCGAGGCATAGTGCTGTCACCATGGAATAGTGATGTCACCGAGAAATAGTGCTGTCGCCATGGCATAGTGCTGTTCCCGAGGCATATTGATGTCACCATGGCATAACGCTTTCACCATGGCATAGTGCTGTCCCATGGCATAGTGCTGTCACCTTGGCATAGTGATGTCATCGAGGCAAAGCGCTGTCACCATGGCATAGTGCTGTCACCACGGCCTAGTGCTGTCACCAGGGCATAGTGCTGTCATCGAGGTAGGCGCTGGCGCTGTCACCATGGCATAGTGCTGTCACCATAGCATAGCGCTGTCACCATAGCATAGAACTGTCACCATGGCATAGTGCTGTCACCATGGCATAATGCTGTCACCATGGCATAGTGCTGTCACCATGGCATCGTGCTGTCTCCGAGGCATAGCGCTGTCACCGAGGCAAAGTGCTGTCACCATGGCATAGTTATGTCAATGAGGCATAGCGCTGTCACCATGGCATAGTGCTGTCACCATGGAATAGTGATGTCACCGAGGCATAGTGCTGTCACCATGGCATAGTGCAGTTCCCGAGGCATAGTGCTGTCACCATGGCATAGTGCTGTCACCATGGCATAGTGCTGTCACCGAGGCATAGCGCTGTCACCATTTTATAGCGCTGTCACCATGGCATAGTGCTGTCACCGAGGCATAGTGCTGTCACCATGGCATAGTGCTGTCACCGAGGCATAGCGCTGTCACTATGGTATAGCGATGTCACCATGACATAGGCCTGTCACTGAGGCATAGTGCTGTCACCATGGCATAGTGCTGTCACCATGGCATAGTGCTGTCACCATTGCATAGCGCTGTCACTATGGCATAGCGCTGTCATCATGGCATAGCGCTGTCACCATGGCATAGCGCTGTCAATTAAGTAACCCTACCAAATAAAAATGGCATTTATATCAGCTAAGAATACTATGGCTCGATAGTTGACATCCTAGTTTAAATGGCATCATTTATATAACACGTTTGGTAACTTTGAGCCCACTGGCCCCAAGTCTTCTTCTTGAACGTGTATTGTACTGTTTAGATATTCAACAAATATACAAAATGTTTACTTTCAATTTTTAAGTAAATCCTGAATTTATTGAAAGAATATTATTATATGCATGTATCTGTGAGAAGGAAACATTCCACACATGATAAATACAAATATGTACTGCTTTCAGTTGACATTCATTATCAAATAAATTCCAACAAATTCAAAATAGCATGCTAGCAGCCTCGTTTACTTTGACATGTCTAGTTTGCATTTATACTCCCTAAAAAGAAAGCAATTTAAAGCTTAAATGATTTTTTTACAAAATACAATACAATATTATATGTACTAATAAAATCATATTAGAATTAAATAAAACCTACTACATATATAAACTATATAGTATCTACGATAATGAAAAGTGCCATGCGCATTCAAATGGGAGTTTCTTACTAATCACAGCAAACCTGTGTTTTTCTGTCTATAAATATCATTTCAACGATTACGTTTTTAATTTTCTATGCATTACAGAGGGGGTTGTCCCCCTTGATGAATAAGCTATGTTGGACTTTCTACAATCAACACTTAATTTAAATGTATAAACATTTGTACTTTTACACATGATTGGCACCTTTCATTGTATATTTTTTCCTTTATCAGCCGATCCTTCATTGGCTTACCTCTGGGTTATCCACGTCGTCAAGCCTCAACATGAAGGCGTTCATTTCCTCCTGACTGTAGATCGTAAACGTGGTATTTGGCTGTTCTTCAAGTGGTGGCTCTTCATTTTCTTCAGTCTCCATTTTTTCCTCTGAGGCAGGTTCAGTCTGTGTTTCTAAAAGTGTTTCAGTCTGTGTTTCTGAAGGAGATTCAGTCTCTTTTTCTACATTAGTTGGTTCCGAATTTTCTTGCTTGCTTGCAGTGCCTCCGTTGGTTATTGGGGCGGGGGTTTCCTGGTCTAATTCCATAGTAAAAATAATCTTCAAATCCTCATCAGAAAATACGGCGCCAACAAAGCTCCGTCTTTACAATGAGTATAGATGCTAATCTGGAGTACTAATTCTAAAAATACAAAGAAATACATATTTCTATATCTATTATATATTCATTGTACTGCATACCTTGTTTGAAAGTTCTTAATTAACGTGTCATGTGACGTAATATATTTCATTTTATTCAGCTTATGCTGGTCATTTATACCCCAATATTGGTCAAAATACCAAAATGTCAGAGTATTCAAGAGCCCAAGTAACTCCGATAGTTTTTCGCGTTTTATTCATGGAACCCCGTGTAATAAAAAATAAATGTGATTGGTATCTATTTATGAGAAATGAGCAAACAATTCTGAAGTTGAGACTGTGGTATGAACTTCATCAATAGTTAACAGAAAACTGTCACTTTTTGGGAACACTGACGGTAAGCTATTCCACATTCATTCACAAGAGGACCAATGGCGACATCAACTTCACAGGCTTTGTACCAAAATATTGCCTGTGCAGAAGAATACTATATTTTGAAAGTATAGACACTGAAGCTATAAATCGCATTTTCATGTGGTTGAATATATATAAGCAATACGTGTTTGTATATTGTGGTGGAATATTAACTAAGAATGCAAAAATGAAATAGAATAACAAAAGGTTTTCCGCCTTGTGTAAATTTTCCCCTACATTGCTTAACCCACGCTATAACATCATAATACTAGCACACCATATGCTCTTTTTTTTATTATTTGTGATATAATCAAAAAATAATCATAGCTTGTGACAGAACACGTATCCTTGTACTATATTTTGTTGATCTGCGTGGCCGTGTGGTTTTAACTTTTCCTGTACTTTGTTAGTGTGCCCGGCCTTGAGGTTTTAACTTTTCCTGTATTTAACGGCTTCCTGTATTTCGTTAGTGTGCCTGGTCGTGTGGTTAAAACTTTTCATGTAATTCGTTAGTCTGCCTTGCTGTGTGGTTTTAGCTTTTCATGTATTTCATTAGTCTGCCGGGCTGTTTGGTTTTAGCTTTTCATGTATTTCGTTAGTCTGCCTTGCTGTGTGGTTTTAGCTTTTCATGTATTTCGTTAGTCTGCCTTGCTGTGTGGTTTAGCTTTTCATGTATTTCATTAGTCTGCCGGGCTGTTTGGTTTTAGCTTTTTTATGTATTTCGTTAGACTGCCTTGCCGTGTGGTTTTAGCTATTCATGTATTTCGTGATTGTGTCTGGCCGTGTGGTTTTAACTTTCCCTGTATTTCTTTAGTCTGTGATTTAACTTCCTACATTGAATTGATTGGCCTGGCCTATGGTTTTAAAAAGTGATAAGTGAAGGATGAGGAAGTATTAAAGTCCATTGTGATTTATTTTACGACAGATGACCAAGGTGACATAGCACCTGATATAATTCTGTTATCTTGTTTTACAGCGTTTCAGTGAGCAAAAATCATCCCTGAACGCTTTTAGGCAGTAACAGACAATATAACTGTCATTTTATCAACTTTCTTAGACATTTGTTCTGGGCTTTTTACAAAATAAGTAAGTTACGGAAATACATGTATGTTCCCTTTCCGCGACAGGAATCGCTTTTAAAAAAGATTTCGAAATGCTTATCACATTGTCATCCCAAATGAAGTCGACGGTGCTGAACAAAGGGACATGCTACACTGAGCACAGGGACATGCTACACTGAATACAGAGACATGCTACACTGAGCACATGGACATGCTACACTGAGCACAGGGACATGCTACACTGAACACATGGACATGCTACACTGAGCACAGGGACATGCTACACTGAGCACAGGGACATGCTACACTGAACACAGGGACATGCTACACTGAACAGAGAGATATGCTACACTGAACACAGGGACATGCTACACTGAACACAGGGACATGCTACACTGAGCACAGGGGCATGCTACACTGATTACAGGGACATGCTACACTGAGCACAGGGACATGCTACACTGAAGATATACGTATACAGTATATGTATTACACACATATGTATATATGATACCTTTCCACCAATGAAGTGGTACAACTATATTTAGTATGACGCCCATTTATTGATAGAAAGGTAAACAATTCACATTGCTCACTCACAAACGGACCGGAACATTGCAATAAGATATCAGAAAGAAAGAAAAATTCAAACACATTTTGTTTCCTAATCAAACAAAATTTGCACATGATCCAACGGCCATAGAAAAAATTGACACATGAACACACCTACATGTATAATTCATACATATTTCCGGGTTTCCTTGACCTCTCCACACAATCAAAATAGTATGCGCGCTGGCTAACTCATGGACTTCGACCAAAAACGAATTAAAAAGAATTGTCGAGTTGGATTTGCATTTCTCGTTGTTAAAATAATGCAAAAATTTATAATATTTTTATCAATATACCTGCTACAAAATGTATTAAGTATGAAATAAAATAAAATGCAGTTGTTATACATATAATGACATCTAAATGTCGTTATCTTGAGGTCATAAGGTAAATTTCCACAAACTACAGAATATCACCATGGTAACAGTCTCATTTTTGAAACGAGCTACTTCCCTTGCACTGCTTTTCAGCACACCAGCCTTGCATCGACCACCGACGCGGAAATCTGTTTGGTGTTAGGCATATATACTAGTACATGTATATATATATATATATATATATATGGGTCAAAGTAGTAATATAGACGGTAAAATCCCATATAACACTGGATCCTAATGGTATGTCCGTAGGATACGAATTACTTAAAATATGATATGGGGCAAAGAAGTAATTCCAACAGTGTGGACAAGTTTAGGTTGTTAAATTTTGAAAATTGGACAATCTTAACTTGTCCACACTGTTGGAATTACTTCTTTGCCCCATATATATATATATATATATATAATGTATGATAAACGTTTTAGAGGCGTGTTTCCTCTTCTAACTGCATCCCACGATTTATTTATCTGTCCTACAATATTATGAACAGAAACAACCCGCTCTGGTAAAACATACATACTGTAAAAGATTCATGAGGTTCCAGTCCTAAACTGTTTACTTTCCATTCACGCCCTTTTTTCAAACAATGATCAATGTATCATGCATGTTGACTTTGAACCTTTTTATTAAATGTGCTTTTATTGTCGTGTGGCATACAGCACTTTTACCAAGCGACATTGTTTTTTTAGCCAATGGCTCATGCGAATAGAATACAGTGTCATACAGGATGTATATTAATGTATATATATGAAATACTAGAAGGAACGCCATTCCGACGTCATATGTATGTGTTTAGTGTTTATATAGAAAAGGATACACATTTCAGACTCCTTACATACCTCCGTTTGACTATCAGCCGGGGCACAGTTGAATCCTTGTCCAGATCACCGTCCCGAGATGAACGAAATAAAAACGAAAGAAGGAAATATTTCGGAATTTCCAAATCGGTGTTAACACAAATATCTACCCTACCCTAACGCATAAGTTCCTGTAATGAATAAGAAGCCCGGGGCACAGATGCTTCATTTATCTTTGCATAAAATACGTTGGACTTTAAAAATATCACTATGATCTTACTGTCTAAGCGAGATACAATATAGATGTATAAGTAAATACAAGTTTTCGATTACTCTCGAATAAATTATCCGACGACTTTTTTCTGCCCCTGCACCGTATAATGTGCATGTCTCGATGTAGAATGTTGATTGTGTCTGTCGTTATGTAACGTGCAGGGGTGTCCTTACAACCCTGGGTCCGTCCTTAGTATATACTTGGGATGTACTGTATTGTAAACTATACCGGCGCACTGGCTTGGTCAACGCCGTTGATGAAAGAGAAATAATTACTATATGATACAGCAACAATAACAATATCTACTTTATACTGAATCAATATTATGTGCACTATGATTGTTAATTGCAAGGTAAATATATATAGAACAATACTAACAATGCACGCTCACTATCTGTCAGCGAATAGGCAATCACACTCGCCCCTGATCCTATCACTCGACTTCACACAGAGCAACGGCGCCCACCCGCGCAGTTGTCAACCACAGCGCAGGGGTCTCACTAATTTGCGCCATAGGAGATTTAGCGCCATAGGTGCGCCATAGGAGTTTTTGCACGCCATAGCAAAATGTGAGTGTTTTATCCACAAAATATTTCGATTTTTCCATTGGTATACTCATTTAACATGTTTTGGTAAAGTATCATTTTAAAAAAAGTGTACTTTGTTAGAAAATCGATCTTGATTACGAAGCACTTTTACACTAATTAGCGCCATACGTGTTTTTTCACGCCATAGCTAAATATAAGAATTATTTTCAGCAATTAACTGTGTTTTTCCTTTGGTATATTCAATATACAGGTTTTGGTAAAGTTTCATTCTTAAAAAATAATTATTTTGTTAGTAAATCGACAAAATACTTCTTCGCGATTCACAAGTCAATTTCAAGGGAAGTAACTCGTACATTTGCTAAAAACGCCATAGCAATCAATAAGACATGACTAGTACAAATTTTATATTAATTTTAGAATTTATTTACAACAGTTTATTTATTACATCTACTTAAATATCTTACCTATGGCGCTAAATCTCCTATGGCGCAAATTAGTGTGACCGCAGCGCAGCGGCACTTGTACAGTGCGCAGAGCAACGGCTCTAACCTGAGCAGTTGTCTGTTCCGCGCAAAGGCACTTATGCGAACCCCTACACTTACTCAGTGTTCTAGGTGGCACTGAGAAAACAAAAAGCCAACCTGAGCCTTGTCCAGGCTCTGTTGCTAGTTGTTTCGTAGCACCTTTATTTCGGGCCTCCCTACTATCCTTATACAGGATTTTAGTATTACCTTCTATTTGTCGTGTAACAACTTTCAGCTTCCGGTGTATCTTCGAAGTCCGTCGATGAAGTGCCTAGCTTACTAGTCCGTCGCCGTTTATATACCAATGGACTATACTATAATGTATCTTAGGGTAAAACAGGTTATTCCATTTCCCTGACTTCTAAGTCACGAGTATGTTTGACTATAATGTCCCAATCTATATACAAATAACAAACACGCAAACTACAGTGATCAATACTTTAATTGAGGCACACGAAGGGGAAATTAACATGAATCAAAACATCGTTACATTACCCTCCCCTTAGGCCTTATGCGTCCCCGCATAACATAATATATAACACACTGCTCTTTCACTCAGAAAGTTTCTGATACTCAACTGCCACCTGGGCAGAAACACATATATAACAAAATGTCTTTACATGACAACTATTCCCAGAATTCCTCTTCTGAGACTTCTTCATTTGTAGTGGAGCCATCCCGTGTTGTCTTCGTTCTCCTGCGGAAATGATGACGAACTAATCCTTCCGTCTGAGTGCCAGTTTCCCTGAACTCTCTCTGACGTCGACTGCCTGCACCTGCGCCTGCAATGACAGATGGGGATACAGAACTAATGCTGGCTAAAGATGTCCAAGTTGCCGCTGTGCAAACTACAGGTGACGAGTTAGCAATTGTGATGGTTGCTGAAGGAGGGCTGCACATGGTCTTCTGAACGCTGAAAGCCGCCTCTGCCAGTGGACGTCCAAGGGGAAACATCTCCGGCAACCACTTGGCCTTCCTCACTGATGTGGAGACGGGGGCTGGACAGGTACTCTTTCTTACCATACGCCCAACTATCTCAGAAGCAGCCGCTTCTGAGCCCTTACTGAACTTTGGCTTGGATGGATCTGCCTCCAGGACATCAGACAGAGTGCCAGGGTCCTGCTGCTCCCAATCTTCACCATCACTATCCTCCTCAAGAACCTGATGACTTTGCTTCCTGTGTCTTGTAAGGTCGGATCTCTTGCTGGTGGCATAGGTACAGTCTGCCTCTTTACATACAAACTCATCTTTCTCCATGCGCTGCCTGCCACAGGAGAGAAGATGATGTCTCCAGTTCTCTTCCTCATAGAACTCTAAACCGCATCTCGGAATAGGGCATCTAAGCCTAGTCTTTGCAGGAGTCTTCTTTGTGTTAACCATCCTGCAATATATAAGAGAAGGTATTCTAAACAAATGTTTCTAGGCAATCATTACTATTCCAGCAATGGCGACAAACATAGTCTTTCATCCACATCGGTGGTCGCCGCCGTCGCTCTGTTCCACATTCAACCTTTCTCTCATTTGAACATACACATGACCCTTCATCACGCTCGCTATCATCATTCAGCTTGTCTGCATCGTCTGAATCCCATTCATGTCTTACTTCATCCTCCTTGACAGAGCTATTAGAATCGACATCGGTACGCTCGATTTCTCCCTGAAGAATTTTTTTGTGCTTTCTCCGAAGCCTATCCACGTGCACTACCTGTGGTTTTCCCTTGAGGCCACAATCAACCTTATACGTCAGATCTGAGCACTTTTCTAAGACCTTGTATGGCCCCCACCAGTAGCTAGTGAATTTCGGAGACTGACCCTGTTTCTCCCTTGGAAAGAAAACGTACACCTCATCACCAGTTTTGAAAATATGCCAGTTTAATTTCCTGTCATGGTAACTTTTCTGTCGCACCATCGCCCCTTCGGTCTTTTCTCTAATCAGCGCATGGGCCTCCTCCATCTTTTCTTGGAGTTCCCAAACCCACTGGTGAGTAGGCACCGACTTTACAGATCTGGGCATCCCGTACATTATATCTAGAGGGGTACCCACCTCCCGACCAAGCATAAGTCGGTTCGGCGTACAGCCTGTCGTCTCATGCTGTGAGGATCGATATGCCATCATTACATAAGGTAAGTATTGGTCCCAGTCGGAATGATGCTCATTGACATACGCACTTAGCATGGTAGCTAACGTTCTGTTAAAACGCTCCACCATTCCGTCTGATTTTGGGTGGTAGGGTGTAGTTCGTGTTTTGTCAATATGCAGAAGCCGACACATCGCGTGGAACAGTTTGCCCTCAAACTGTTTTCCCTGATCCGAGTGGATAGCTAAAGGTACCCCAAACCTTGCAACCACTTCTTCGACTATCAACTTTGCCACGGTACTTGCTTCCATGTTTGGCATTGCAAAGCTTTCCGTCCACTTTGTGTAATAGTCACTGACTACAAGGATGTATCTATTACCATCCTCTGTCTCTGGCAATTCCCCTAGAATGTCTGTGGCGATCCTTTCCATTGGCATACCGGACTGGACTATTTCCATCGGAGCACGTTTCGTCTTGAGCGGTCCTTTACGTTTACGACATTTGTCACAACCAGCTATGTAGCTTCGCACATCCGCTTGCAGTCCCGGCCAATAGAATCCTTGCCGTATTTTTGTAATGGTCTTGTGTAACCCCAAAAGTCCGGAAGTTATCGAGTCATGACACTGTTGCAAAAATCGCCTTCTCTCTGATTTGGGAACAATTCCTTGAAGCCAACTTTTCTTTGACTGGAGGTCTTCCCATCTCCTGTATAGTATGTCAGAATCGACTACCAATCGGTCATATTGCGACCAGAGGGACTTTATGACAAGACTACCTGCTTCGATGTCCTTGTATGGAGGTCGAGTCTTATCCTGTACCCATCTTTTCACAGTTTGAATTTCCTCGTCTTTAGCTTGCAGAGAGAGTAGAGAAAATCCTCTGCTGTCTGTATCTGGTGTCTTGCTTACAACAGCTACATTAACAGAGCCAGTATCCATCTCTAAGGGCTGAGCCATTCCCTCTATGCTTGGGTCAAAACCGCATTGTTTGCACGGTAGTCTGCTCAGTGCATCTGCGTTGGTATGCTTGGCTCCAGGTCTATGTTCTATCTGCATGTCATATGTGCTGAGGACTTCTATCCATCTGGCCACCTGGCCCTCTGGGTTCTTAAAATTGAGTAACCAACGCAGTGACCCATGGTCTGTTCTTACTTTGAACTTCTTTCCGTAGAGATAATGGCGAAAATATTTCACGAAGTTCACTATTGCCAAAAGCTCCTTCCTTGTAACACAATATTGGCGTTCGGGTTTGGTTAGGGTATGGCTTGCATAAGCTATCACTTTTTCTTGCCCATCGAAGTCCTGCGATAGTACGGCTCCAATAGCCTCATTACTCGCATCAGTGTCCAAAATGAACGGTTTGCTGAAGTCGGGATGCGCGAGAATGGGGGCACTGGTTAACTTTTGTTTGAGGGTCTCAAATGCATTCTGACAGTCCTTGTTCCATATAAAAGGTCTTCCCTTCTCCGTAAGTCTGTGAAGGCACTTCGCGATAGCAGAAAAGTTGTGTATATACCTTCTGTAATATCCGCAGAGACCTAAGAAAGATCTCAGTTCTGACACATTGACAGGAATAGGCCAATCTTGTATCACATTTACCTTCTCGCTATCAGTGGCAATGCCATCACCTGAAACAACATGACCAAGAAAGTGCACGCGCTTTGAAAACAACGTACATTTCTTAGGTTTAAGCTTCAGTCCAGCTTT